CCCGGTTTAGAGCACATGACAGGCCGTCCATACTGGATCTGGTGATCACCAGAACCCCTGGAGACATAATGACAATAATCCGGGAGGAGCCTCTAGGGAAAAGTGATCATGTGGTTCTGCGACTAACGTTAGAGAGGAGACACAACAAACCAGCGACCAAACTAGGGAGGCAATATGGTAGAATCAACCAAGAAGAACTGACCAGAGCGTTCCAGGATATAAACTGGGTACCCAACCCAGCTGATGCATCTCTGGAAACCAGATGGAGCCATATAAAGACAGGACTTCTACTTTCGGATGGGTTCGCGCCTTTAGTTCCGTTAGGAAAGAAGCAACGGCCTCGTTGGTGGAAAGTAAATATTGATAGGGCTATAACCATTCGTAGATGACGGTGAGCGGTCTACCAACAGTATGGCACCCATCAGTCGTGGAATGGTTACAAACAAGCGCGCAACTATGCACAGAAAGTGCAAAGAGAGGCTAAATACCAATTTGAGAGAAACTTGGCGCAAAACGTCAAGCGAAATCCTAAATGTTTTTATGCGTATGTTCAATCTAAGTGCAACACTCTGGAAACGGCTGGTACTCTGTAATCGTCGACCAGAGAGTTGGCAGTGAGTGAAGGCGATAAAGCACGTATCGTGTTACGGTTCTTCAAAAGCGCGTACAGGATCCGCAGGGTGACAGATAACCTTCCATCAATCAAAGGCAACTGCAGAATGCCCCCAATCATTTTGGAAATCCAGGATGTGCAGTGGGAGTTAGCAGGGCTAAATAGGTTCAAGGCGGCGAGGCCTGACGGAATTCACCCAGCGATTGTGCAACCGCTTGCTGACGTCGTGGTAGGACCGATCTTCGAGTTATTTCAAGAGTCGCTTAGACTGGGAACTGTCCCGAACGACTGGCACAAAGACACAGTAGTGGCAATACACAAGTCTGGATCCCGGCAAAAAGCCGAGAATTACAGACCCATAAGTTTGACAGCAGTAATATGTAAGTGTTTAGAGCGCCTACTTAGAAGGCAAATATGCCGCTACATAGTCAATAGCGGGCTGTTGGTATCAACTCAGCACGGATTTCTGGAAAAGCAATCTTGTCTGACAAATCTGTTGGTGTTCCTAGATGAGGTCACACGTAGAATTGATGAGGGCCTACTGGTGGAGGTATGCTTTCTGGACTTCCAGAAGGCATTTGACTCGGTCAGCCACCATCTGTTGGAGCATAAGATGCAATTATTGGGAGTAGATGGGCAACTCAGGAACTGGATAATGGACTTTCTTACGCAGAGGACGTTTCGTGTCAAAGTAGGAGCTTACACATCCGAGGAGGAAGTGGTCAGAAGCGGCTTAACCCAAGGATCCGTACTTGGACCACTGCTGTTCCTGCTATTCATTAACGACCTAGCACGGGATCTCCAAAATCCCTGTTTTCTGTTCGCAGATGACATCAAGATAGCTGGATGGGATCTAG